CTTTTTTTTCTTCAACAACATGTTGGTTTCCGCGAACGGTGACCAACCATGTTAAATCAATGGTTTAATCCAAGTCTTTCGAGAAAACACTCACTAAATGATACATTGTTTGACGCAACGTTAAGCCAAAAATTGGGAAAAACGAACGATACCTCATGGCAACGATCGAAGATGCTGCCACCGCGCATGCACGAGAACTTAGATGTCCAAAAGGGAACCCAGGCGACATCTTCGTGTGAAGTAGCCGCAACAATGTTATTTGCTACTCCATGTTCTCTACATGATGGTTTCTGAAGCCCTGTCAGGATACAATTTATTCGCTTTACATTTCAGCTGCTTTCCGTTACGTTACATTACGTTGCGTTAGTTGTTACCACGAGATCGCAGCTTTATCGTTGATAATCGATAAGGTTTAAAGTTTAAGTGCTAAATATAATATTTTTATAAGCGACTATACTCGGTCATGGAGCAAACAGACAAACTTTCCGTCACTACATGCGCTGAGGGTGCTGGATGCCACCACTCATATAGTTGGCTCCAGTAATCGGAATGGCCACCATAGCTTGTTGTGGAAAAGGCTGCATTTGGATCGGTACTTGTTCGTTTCCCATTTGATGATATTCATAGTATGACTAAAAAAAGAATGAAATATCCAGTTTATCAATTAAAAAACGAAGGAAAAGGGGCCGGAGGGAGAAGGGAAGGAAAATTGGATTGGAGGAAAGAAGAAAGGAACGAGGGAGGGGAGGATGAAAGGAACAGAAGAAAAGAGGAATGAACGGGAGGAACATGGGAAGGAAAGAGAGATATAGAGGGAGAAAAAAGGGAGCAAAAGAGGAAGAAATAGAAAGGAGGAATAGGATTAAACTGAAGGATAAAGAAGAAAGAAGGAAAAAGAGAGAAATTGCTGAAAGAAAGTAGGGGAAGAGTAAGGAAAGAAATGGAAAAAAGAAGAAAAGACAGAGGGAGAGAAGGGTAAAGAAACGAGCGGAGGATTGAAGGAGAAGGGTAAGGAGAGGAAGAATTAAAGGGAACAAGAAAGAAAGAATAAAAGTAGAAAAGCAAGAAGAAAAACAATGGGAATGGAGGAAAGACGAACAGAGGTGGAGGATGAAAGGAACGGAGACAGGAAATAAGAGAGGTATAAAGGGGGGTATGGGAGGAAGAGAAAAGGGAGGGAGGATTGGATGGAGATGGAAGGGAGGGGAGAAAGGGGAGAGAAAAAGTCAGTTAGTAATACGGAGCGAAAGGGAGGAAGGGAGGGGAGGGGGGAAAAGAGGGGATGAGGGGAATGAGAAAGAGGTAAGGTGAGACGAAGGAAGGTGAAGGAAGTCGTGCAAAAGCAAAAAAAAACGAAGAGGAGAAGGCGTAAGGAGGGAAGAAAGAGGAAATAAGATTGGATATCCGTATGCCTTCCTATACTTCAGTGCCATATTTGAAAAGTGACTTTTTTCCTGAGTAACACAACATACCTGATTTTCCTGGGGCGACTGACGCCCAGCATCACTGCTCCGAGCCATCGCCACGGCGAGAATGATCTCAGCGATGGCAAATATGACAATCAAGGCATGTATGGCTATCATGGTGTTTTCCTGGTCTTCAAACTTGATTTTTGCGTCTTTAGTCCAAAAGTAAGGATTACCTTCTTCATAGTTGCTTTGACGATAATCATAATATTTGAACCACAATACAATTATCAGAGCCCATGAATACAATTCAACTACCACTGCACAAACCACAACAGATGCAACACTTATTGAATAGAGCCAGTTTATCTGAAATCATGAAATTAGAGGAGATGGCAATTATATTCTGAGCCTCAAATATTTCTCACCAGTCTGAGTGCTGGACATTAACCTTTAAGTCAGTGAATACCTGTTTAATGTCACGCAAAAGTAAGACGTGATTTTAATATTTTCTCGTCACATAAATAATCTCATACATTTCAGTTGGTAATCATTCTCACCAGAATCGAGGAGCGTCTGGTCCTGGTCGCCACAATCAATCCCATAATTCCCGCTGGCAATACCTGTCCGAGCAAGCAGTAACATTTTAGGTTTTAGAAATCATGCCAAACGGCAGAAAGTAGAGTTTGCAAAGTTTCCCTATACAAAACCATTGCAAGCTTGTTCGTACAGGTGCAGGGAAGTTTGTAAACCCCAGAGAATATTGTTGCCATAGATGTTCTTAATCCTTTTTACCTAGACCCCTGTAATCAAATGAAATGGTTTGGGATGGAGAAACCTGAATCATCAACGTATGATTAATACATCTATTTTTATCTACAAAACGTCACACAATTATACCCCAGAATATTTAAGATCCAATTTTATTAAAGAAACGGCCTTACTTTGTGTTATTTGAGAAATACTGGGAGTATAGCTAGGTAAGAGTAAAACATGGTATTGGATAGACTTAAGTGTTAATGTGTATAATTACTATTTCTAAAGGAGGTTAATTGTGGGTAAATAAAGCTGACTTTCGGGTGACGTTCCCATTGCCGTTGCCGTCGTGGTTTTCTTAAACTTCCTATTGATTTGTTTTGCGAGTTGTGCATTGGGGTCTATACGAAACCGCAAAACCGCTAAAAAAATTCGATCAAGCCCGAAAACCGAACGCAAAACCGTCTAAACTCTGTTGTCAAAATCCTAATCGATTTGATACTGTGGTTACAAGTGGAGCTACATAGGTTCCGCGGCTATTCGAGATCAGCAGAGGCGAACAACTACTGCTCAGATCGAAGAGAAACCGGAACTACAATAAGAAAAGCCCAAAAAGCCCATCGGGTACGAAATCCGAGTACACTTCAAAATTTTTGACTTTACCGAAAACCAGATGCTGAAAACGGAAAATCTGCAAAATGCAATGAACAACAAAACCGAAAAACCGGCGTTTTTGGCACAAAAACGGAAAAACTGATCGGAAAAATAGCCAAAACCACAAAACTGCGAACCCAAATGCCCCCCTATTTTGCAGAGGACACAAGAAATTTACAAAGATTTATAACGCACGTGCACAGCCATTGTTCTGCTCATTAAATCTTTTGTTTAGTGACGTTCTCGTTGCGGTTGCCGTCGTGCTTTTCTTTAACTCCCTATTTACATTCCTTGATCACCGCTATAGTTCATATCTTCCTTAAATTGTTTTCATAACATTTCATTAACAATGCATGAAAGAAATTTTAGTTTTTGACTCATAATTTGCAGATTTCAGGTAACACAGTACTGGAGAGAGATAATTCAGAGTAAAAAAGGGTATAAACTGTTTAGTTGCAACGTTTTACTCACTTGTGCATATTGAAATCGTGTGATTACCTGAGCGGATATTGAACTCATTTTGGTGCGGCTGAATTAAATGTATTATTTGTAAAATTCTGCCGTGCTATATATAGTCAAGCCATATCAGTTCAAAGTCCTTAGCGGAAGTCGATCATAAGGCGTTTGAAAACAGCTGCAAATTATGCTAATCGTTAATAGCAAGTTGTTTTGTAGCTTAGCAGACGTCGTGTTCCTAAAAGGAAATTTTCCTTTCTTTGGACGAAACCACCGTTGTCGATTCACGGATTTCGTGTATTTATCCTAGTTTGGATTGATCCCTTTGTTTTGCGGCCATCTAATCAGGGTATTTGTATTTGGCGGATAAACACCATACCTGGTTGTATTATCCGTCCGCTTATAAGCTAAATATTGAGCGCCATTCTCAAACTACGTTTGTCGACGAATGGCAGCTGTGAGGGTTGTGTGACATTTAGTCTCAGTGGACGTATTATAGAAACGAATAGAAGCACTAGCGAAAAATAATTGTTTAACGTCTTCGCCATGAACCTAGCTCTAATATCTACTATTTTAGCGCTCGAGAGCACAAGCATTGGCAATGAAACACTTCTTCAAGCGTACTTACGAGAGCTGCGATCCAACATGCCATGAACAAAAAGCTGATGTGTACGTAGCGTACTTCAAAATAGTCCACGATGCCGAATGCAAAGAAGATAACTGCCATTGCCAGTTGAATAATCGAAATGATTTTCAATTCTCGCCGGCTGAACGCCATGTCGCGTGGAATATTTCCGTTATGTTTAAACACGAAGGCGCGCTAGAAAAGGAGCCTTAGGTCCCACTGGACCATTTGTGAATCAACCGTCGTGTGACGTAGAACTCTTAGGGCCTGATTACATGAGCCGGGCTGGTGTCAGTTTGCCGGGGTCACGGCACGTTTGACAAACGCAACAAAAATCAATCTCGCGATTACATGACAACCGGGCCGGCCCGGTAAGCCGAGATCCCGGTATCGCGGTGCTGGGATCCCGGCTAAACGGGCTGAAATTTTCCCATTTAATCGCGTTTAGCCGGGTCAGCCCGGCTCATTAAGCCATCAAGAGTTCAGCAGGTAATATAATGCTCATGCGCAATGGTCTCAATTTCATGCAAACATGGCGGCCACGAAATTTAAGTGGACGATTTTGGAATGGTGGACGACCTTCTTCGCGCGCTCAGTGAATTCAAAGCTAATATGGAGTATCGCAACGTGGACTTCAATGCTGATAAAAACAAGCAATATGAAGCAGTGAGAAACACGATAGCGAGAAAGTATTCTTCTGGCGATGTTGACTTGTTTGGGCCAGAAGGAACTACTGCCATTCCCGAAGATGTTGAGGAGTCTCAGAGGAAAGAGTTGGTGGAAAAAGTCAAGTCAGAGAAAGCGCTGGTCAAGAAAGGTTATTCCAGGGTGATGGAAAAGATAAAAGAATTGCGGCAAAAAGTTAGTAATGCTGTGACAATGGGATCTAGAAGTGGTTCTGGAAAGTTGGTAATAGAGTTCTATGATGTAATGGTAAAGATATATACTGGGGAGGATCAAAAAATTAAAGCTCGCTCCGGTCTCCCGCGGTTTATCACCCCAGTCATCAACCGGGCTGGCTCGCCTCATGTAATACCGGGCTGAATGTCATCTCGGCACACCAAAGCAGCCCGGCTAACCGGGCCAGCCCGGCTCATGTAGTCAGTCCCTTAGAGTCAAGTCAGCTTGAGCTACAGCTACTCCAAAACAGTGAACAGCGGGTGCATTCCTCAAAATTGTTTTATTTTTTCATCACAATACAAGAATTTTTTGAGATTTGTATTTTCTTTCTCCAATGGAAACTGTCTTTATTTGTGGCGGTAAATTTGACATCGAAGTAGGTGGTTCGCACGTTACCTCATGCCACCATGCTGGTGGAAGTAAACAATAGATATCTCATGAGCTCCTTTTGTTCGTCTACCAGCATTTAAATTTGACCCGCACACGTCAACGGTGAGTGACAAATGAGCCTAGGTCTTTCCAGGGAAGACTTCCTTATAGATAGCGCGCCTTCGTGTTTAAACCGAAATACGTTTTGAAACCGAAGGAACACAGTAACGTCCCCTGCCCAACCAAATTAACTAATTAATAGATGCAGGAGACTGGACCTACGGTTGACTTCCTCGTCGCGTTAGTGAATGATAATTTAAGTATTAAAAATGTCATGCATGTTATCTTCGCATAAATAGTCTGATAACATATCAGTTCGTCATCAATCTCATCAGAATCGAGGAGGGTCTAGACCTGATCTCCAGAATCATGTAATCCCATAATGCCCGCGGGAATACCTATCCAAGTAAGAAATAACATTTAGGTTTTAGAAATCATATCAAATGGTCGAACAGACAAAAAATCTTATCTCCATATCTACAGAACATAAATGGGAGATTTAAACGGTAAAATGCTCTTTCTTGGAAGAATAGAATTTTCCTTAGTTTTCATGATACACCCATCACACCTATTAAGATATTTATAAAAGGAAAAGTTTTGTTTTTAATCTCGCGCAATCCCGCAGGTGATAATAAGCGAGAAATCATTTAAGGAGAGAGCTGAAATGTATATCGAGTGAGAATGTCGAATTACTATGATAGTCCGAAAAACAATAAGAAAAACGGGAAGAGATCGGGTCAAAACTGGATCAAGAGCGGGATTATTTCTTTTTCTTATCATCCGCTCATGCACCACTCACTCATTCACTCACTCATTCCCCCACTCATACCCGTAACATGGTGGCTTTGCCTCCTAGTTTATAAGAGGAAGTATCCACAAAAATTGGTGTGTTAGAAGGTCTCTGCTAGAAGGTCTCTTAGCACGTGAAGGGTGATTCCCTGTTGAATATCTTGTGTCTAAGAATGTCATGTTGCCGTCGGTTGTAAGTGTAACTGCTGCCATTTTGGCAAGACTGCAGTTTCGATTCTCTCCTAATCTCTTCAGTTGTCTTCTAACAACGACCTCATTACGGAGGAATGGCAGAAGTCGCGCAGGCCCTTCGGCACTTTTTGAATTTCGAAGAAACAGCAACAGACAGTGAATCCCCATCACGTTCTTAAAATCGCCGCGTCAGAAATTCGATATAAAATCATAAGGCCCTTTTGTAGAACAATCAACCACTGTTATACGGTAGATCCCAGTCCAGCAGTTTAGGAATGAATTTCTCCACGGCCTTCTACAGTCTGACTTCTGCCGACAGTCTCGATTTTGACTTTTTATATGCCCCAGCGACGGTTCTGAGAATCACGGATTTCTTTTGTTTTTATTATTTTATTCAAGGCCATGATTAGCACCACATCTAGTAGCTAAATATGGAGTGCCATCATCAAACCACTTTCCCCGTTGAAAGGTCGCTGTGAGGGTTGTGTGAAATTTGGTCTCAGTGGTCGGTAAATTGAAACGAAAAGAAGCACAGACAACAATTAGTCTTACATCTTCGCCAGGAACTTGGAATTTCTTATGTTTTATCTGGTTAAAGTATAACCATAGGCAATAAAAAACGGTATTCAGTAGTCTTGTGCACTTACAAGAGCCGCGATCCAATATGGCATGAACAAGAAGCTGTCGCCGGCAGAGAGTTCCGTGAGAAACCGCCGATGAATAATGTGCCTCTCTGCGTTCTAATCAACAGACCTGTAGTTAGTTTTTCCCCCACCCCCCTTAATCATCAAAAATTTGAAGTCAACCAAGGGGGCCTCAAAAGGGTGATGGCTTTTAACTGTCAAAATATATCAACAAAACAGACAATAACAGAATGACTGTTCTAAGCGTTTCTACGTAAAGTCGAACCTGTTTTAAGCGGTCACCCATAAGGAGTGAGCGAGAATTGTCCCAGTGACGATTGCTATAGGCCGGGTCATCAAAAGAGTAAAAGTAAGCCCAGATATACGTAAGTACATACTTCTGACACACCTATAAGCTTCCGCAGTGATCTTTTACCCTCAATATAGTATGAGTTTTTCTTTTAAGTTTCTTATGTTATTTGGCTTTTCTCTTGTGGTCTGTTATTGCTATACTTTTGTTCAAAGCTGTCAGAGCTCATCAAACATAATTAGAAAATGGAAGAATATTGGCAACCTTGAGCTTTTTAGCTTTCAAGATAATCGGAGACTTTTCACCGTGCGAAAGTAAAGATATTAAAGTATCTAGGCCAAAAATTGGTATATATCTGACTTTCATTAGAGATAATGTTGCCATGGTAATGACGTAAGCATAGAAAATTAACATCCAAAGCAGATTACTAATTGTATCGTCAACCGAACTGCTGAATATCTGGAGAAAAAACTTTGAGATGAATTAACTAGGTTTCTTTTCGTAACTCGCCCCCTAAAGGGAGTTCTATTGGTTAAGACTTGAGGGAGCTACCTCCTGTACTAAATTTAAAACTATAACTTGCACAGTTTCCTTTTTTTTCCTGAACAACATGTTGGTTTCCGCAAACGGTGACCAACCATGTAAAATAAAAAATTTAATCCAAAATCCTTCGAGAAAACTTGCACTAAATGTTACAGTGTTTGACGCAACGTTAAGCCAAAAATGAGGAAAAACGAACGATAAACTCGGTAGCCTCGTGACACCGTTCGAAGATGCCGCCACCGCGCATGCACAAAAACTTAGATGTCCCGTTTGGGAACCCAGATAGCCGCGCGTCAACTAGCCGCAACGATGTTATTTGCTACTCCATGTTCACTACATGATGGTTTCTGAAGCCCTGTTAGGATACAATTTATTCTCGTTACGTTACAGTTGCTTTCCGTTACGTTAAGTTACATTACGTTGCGTAAGTTGTTATTAAGAGAGCGCAGCTTTATCGTTGATTAATCGCTCAGGCTAGCGTTTTAGTGCTTAATATGGTATTTTTATAAGCGACTATACAAGGTCACGATACAAACAGACGAACTTTCCGTAACTACATGCACTGTGGCTGCTGGATGCCACCGCTTCTATGGTTTGCTCCAGTGATTGGAATAGTCACCATAGCTTGTTGTGGAAAAGGCTGCATTTGGATCTGTACTTGTCCGTTTCCCATTTGATGATATTCATAGTATGACTAAAAAATAAAATAAAACATCCAGTTGATTAATGAGAAAGAGAAGGAAAAGGGGCAGGAAGGAGAAGGGAAGGAAAATTGGATTGGAGGAAAGGAGAAAGGAACGAAGGAGGGGGGGATGGAAGGAAAAGAAGAGAAGAGGAATGAACGGGAGGAGCAAGGGGAGAGAAGAGAAATATGGAGGGATAAAAAAGGGAGCAAAAAAGGGGAAATGAATCCCCATCACGTTCTTAAAATCGCCGCGTCAGAAATTCGATATAAAATCATAAGGCCCTTTTGTAGAACAATCAACCACTGTTATACGGTAGATCCCAGTCCAGCAGTTTAGGAATGAATTTCTCCACGGCCTTCTACAGTCTGACTTCTGCCGACAGTCTCGATTTTGACTTTTTATATGCCCCAGCTACAGTTCTGAGAATCACGGATTTCTTATGTTTTTGTTATTTTATTCAAGGCCATGATTAGCACCACATCTAGTAGCTAAATATGGAGTGCCATCATCAAACCACTTTCCCCGTTGAAAGGTCGCTGTGAGGGTTGTGTGAAATTTGGTCTCAGTGGTCGGTAAATTGAAACGAAAAGAAGCACAGACAACAATTAGTCTTACATCTTCGCCAGGAACTTGGAATTTCTTATGTTTTATCTGGTTAAAGTATAACCATAGGCAATAAAAAACGGTATTCAGTAGTCTTGTGCACTTACAAGAGCCGCGATCCAATATGGCATGAACAAGAAGCTGTCGCCGGCAGAGAGTTCCGTGAGAAACCGCCGA